TGGCTTCTCTAGTCTGGCAGTATTTTAAGTGTCCGAAAATGACAATAAAATAGCGGTATGCAACGTGTGTGTGAAGCAGAAATCCTGCAGCTCCACCCGCTGTGACGGACCGGTGAGCGGAGCAGAACACACAAGAGTTAGACCTAACACACTTAGCTATTTTATCTACCTCTGGAACAAGCTAAACTAGTTATAAATATATTTATTCTTCACTGTCGGGTCGCTCATTACTGGATCAGTGAGCTGCAGGAGATACTGACGGGCTGTCAGGAGAGAGAGGGGGAGAGAGGAAAAGAGAGCGATATCGGTATCGGCCGATACTGATTCCGGCGATCGGCTCCAAAATTGGCGATCGGAGCATCCCTAATAATTGTATATGATATGTTTTATAAAGATTGATCATTAAAGTGTTCTCAAAGCTGGTAAAGTTGCAGCTAGTTTGAATGACTTTGTATACTACAGAGTAGCTTGTGAATTTACTCCAGGTGGAACTAAAGTCTGATTTAACACTTGATTATATTTCACATCATTCATCCACACCTGTAAAGTAACTAAAGGTATTAAATACATGTAGTGGAGGAAAAGTACACCATTTACCTCTGACTTGTTTACTGCCAACCTAAAAGTACCTCAAAAATAGTAATCAATAATATATTGAAAAGTTATTTGGCTGATTGTTTTATATTGGCTCAGCCAGGTTATATGGGATGCCCAGTCTACGTACAGATGGGTCACACATTTTGAAATATTAAACTTAGTTTTCTTTTCTAACATTTTTCATTTTTCATCCTCATGTAGAATGCTATTATGAAACACACATTTGGTTGTTTATAGCATAAAGAACATCTGATTTAATGTGAGGTAGGGAAATCATCATTTGAGTATAAGTATGTGTATATAAATATGTAATTTACAACAGCTGTAAGATGCTTGAAAAGCTTGAAAATGCACCTTGAAAATGCTTGAAAAGTGCTTGAATTTGACTTTGGAAAAGGTGTAAGAACCCTGTACATTGCTATAACATGTCATTTTATAAATGTGCATAAATGTGTTCATTACTTTAATGTTGCAGCTGGTCATCACATATTCAGTGAGAGTAGTTATTTCACTCAAACTCAAGCCCAAATCCACACTATTCCCTCTGTTGCTATGTCAATAATGACCATGAGAAGGACACATTGTTCAGTCCTTACTAAACAATGTTCTCCTCTCTCCATCATGCAGCCACCATCAGGCCCAAGGATGCTGTGGCTAACAGCCAGCTGGCAGCATTTGGGGAGTTAGTGGCTGAGATGATGCCCAAATATGTCCAGCAGGTCGAGGTCAGTTCATATGAGGATCAGTGTTCATCGTACTGACTGTGCTGCTGAGCATTGTAATGTGCATGCTAATATTGGAACAGACCAAGATGTAAATGGAAGGCTATTTGTATTGTTGTTATATTGCTTGATTTTAATTTGACTTCAACTATATTTATTTGTTGTTCTTTTCTTTTCACTATCTCTGTAAAGCGACTTTGAGCACCTGTAAAAGCGCTTACAAAATAAATCTATTATTATTGTATTTGAACACATTCCACATGACAACAGATTTGTAAATAGTTAAAACAGGCAGATCAGTCCGACTTGGTACAGTTTGTATTAGTAATTGTATTTTTTAAGTACTTTGATAAATATGAACATGTGCCAGATTTAGCCATAAAGGCGTTGTGGTGCACAATGCAGAAGAAACATATGGTGTTATAAAAAAGAAAAACACCTAATTGGACCCCTTACTACTGAACTCTGTTTTTTAAATAAAGCTTTTTTAATTGTCTTTAATTGTGTTCCTGTATAATTGAAATGTCTGCAATCCAATTTCAGAAACGTGCAGGTAGCGTAATGCGTTTGTTTGTGTAGATGACCTGTTTCAATGAGCTGGATGTAATGATCCATCCCGACGGGGTGATCCCTGTGCTGACCTTCCTGAGGGACCACACCAACGCCCAGTTCAGGAACATGATCGACCTGACGGCTGTCGATGTACCGTCACGGCAGAACCGCTTTGAGGTAGCTATCAGCAAACATGCACGCACTCACACACCTAGAGACAAGCCTTATTGGTGAGTTGTCAAATGAAAAGAGTGCCCTATCAAAAAATGTGAAGAAAAATGTGTGGTGTGTTTGAAGATTAATCTGTAATATTGCGGCTTTGCATTTGTCACTATAAATAGTGATATTTAAAATGTGTAATATTAATACCAAGTTGCCAAACACATGTTCTATTGTTGACAGCCCTAATATTAATTAAATGAATATTTTAATGGGCAGGAGCTGTCCTGTTAGTCGAGTATCCATCCTTCTAAACAAACTTTTCCAATGTGTGCCTGTGTGCTCGTTTTCAGATTGTGTACAACCTGCTGTCGCTGCGCTACAACTCTCGTATCCGCATTAAGACGTACAGCGATGAGTTATCACCGGTGGACTCGGCAGTCTCAGTCCACATGGCTGCCAACTGGTACGAGAGGGAGGTGAGTCACAATCTCAGGGGTCATTACAGCGTTTATTTTACTTCACAGAGTCATGGACAAACCTGGTAAATGTGTATGTTTATTTTTCTGCAGGTATGGGACATGTTTGGCGTGTTCTTTGCTAACCACCCAGACCTGAGGCGTATTTTGACAGACTATGGCTTCGAGGGTCACCCCTTCAGGAAGGACTTCCCTCTCTCCGGATACGTAGAGGTGAGTTCTGCAAGAAACACACTTTTCAGCTTTCATATTTGTGTTTTAAGGTTTTACTGTGACATGTTTACATGCTTTAATGTTGAAAAAGGTGAGAGGAACTCACACTGAAGGGAACTTTGGGATTTTATCCTTTGCAGACAATTTACATGCACAATAACATATATAAAACACTACAGGAAAGGAAAAACCCCCAAAAGCATAATACACCTCTCTCATACAGCCTATTTAATGTGCGGTTCATTTATAAATGTTGTAGACCGTGCCCAAACGGCTGGATCCTTTGATCATTTTTTTTCTTCCATTCAGCTCATGATAATTATTTCAGGTTTCCCACAAGCTGTGAAAAGCCTTTATAGTTTGTGCTGAGAAGGAACAAGTCGTGGCCTAAATACTTCCTGAATACATTTCCCTTTTTAAAGAATGAATTATTCATTTCAACACGGTACCCAAACTCCTCTAGTTTAATTCTCTCTTTCAGACGATATACACTTCACATTCCTGTTTTTAAAATTCATCATTTAATCAGGAAGTCGCCACTCGAAAAGCTTCCCATGCAGTATTGTTTTCATATTTTCCACCAAGAGTTTTTGAAGTTTTTAGTCCTTGAAATGTACCATCCATGAGCATGAGCATGACAAATTGCTTTTAGATACAATAAAAAAAATGCGACAACTTTGCCTCTTTAATGTGTTGCGTTGTTTCCCTCTGCAGGTGCGTTATGACGATGAGCTGAAGCGTGTGGTGGCAGAGCCAGTGGAGCTGTCGCAGGAGTTCAGGAAGTTTGACCTGAACACGCCCTGGGAGACGTTCCCGGCATACAGAGAGCCCAAAGAGGTGGCACCCAAACTGGAGGCTGGCGACGCAGCCCCTGAGAAGAAATGATGACCCCCTTTCTCATCTTCATGTTCTGTCTGTTAATGTCATTTTGGGGTTTCTGAACAAACCCTGAAATGTTTATGTAAATAAAAATACTAATAAAACAACCATCACAAGAGTTTCTTTCAATTATTTTCAGATATTTTAACCACTGTTATTACGGCAAAGATGCAATTAGATTGTTTACCATGTACTATACTTTATAATGTTCGTGTGAATTTGTATCTATTTATAGTGTGGGGCATGTCAATGATGAGACAAAACATGCAACAATGCCCATATATGAAATCGGGAATATCGGATGAATTTGCCCTATAAAACAACCAGTAAGGTTCAAGCTGTGGGACATATAATTAGTCAAAATAACAGTTCTAAAGCCAGGGCTCTAGATTAAAAGCCATCTTTAGTGGAGTGTGATTTGTTGGCGCATTAGTAGTGGGTTTTAAAAATTGTGATTTAAATTCAAAGAAGATATTTGAGTTCTAAAGAGTGAGTGTATGTATGTTGGCCACATAGTTTGGTATAGAGTTATTTTAGAGGCATAGGGTGTATTTTCAAATCAAAATAAAAACCAACCTTGAAAAGCACAAATGTCTGAACAAATATTTAATAGTATCATAAATGATATAAATGTATGATTATTTTTTTTAGATGGAGATTTCTGCTGATTATTTTAACCATAAATCAATTGTTATTTGGTTTGTGTAAAATAAGTCACCAGAACCCAAAGTAACAATGGTTGCAACTGGTTGTTTTGCCCTAACAGAGGTTTGGACTGTGAAACAATGAACATTAGAAAAGACTCAACGATTATTAGAATTGTGAATTGATTAATCAAGTCTCATCTTCAACTTGCAATGTTTCATATGTCCGGTGCACAATCATCTAAATCTGCAAAGTAACTAGTCAAATAAATGACGTGCATTAACAAGTCCAATATTCCCCTATGAAAGTGACTGGGGTTAAAGAATAATGTGACATGGAAATAAAAGAAAACTGTAAATGTTTTCTTAAGTACAGTACTTGAGTAAATGAATTGGAAAACGTGCATCCTCTAAATGTAAATGTTAACCACGGAATTGGTTTATTAAGGGTTAAAGTTGGCATTATTGAATCTGACATTAAAAAAAAGATGCAGCTCATAATTAAGCAGTTGTCAAACGCACCACCGACCAACATGCCAAGTGACCTAAATCAAACCTAACAGGTGCATGCTGGGTGTGGCTAACATGCTAAATGCTAACATGCACATGGATGCTCCAGGTGACTTTTGGAACTTTTACCTTCAGTGAGGTGTTTAAAGCCCCTTCCTGCTGATTGTGACTGGTTATAGTGGGACAGAGAGGCTGAGTTGACTCACTGATTATATTTAGCTTTGAGAAGGAACAAGTAAAATATGAAGATGGAGCAGATTGAGGAGGCCTTCATGGGGTTTAAGACCCGGGCTGACATTCGAACTGGTGAGTACAATGTTGTGACATTAGAATGTGTGTTTGTGTGTGCAATTGCTGCACATTTGCTTACTTGTGTAAGTGGCTGAGTTTATGTAGTAGTGCTCATTCCAAACCTACTGTTTAAAAAAAAATTTTTTGATTACGCATTAATCATTTCAACCAATAATGAATTAGTATCTTTAAAGCCTCTGAAAACCTAGTTCAAAGGTTGAAAAGGTATAGTTAAAGGTTGGAAAAAATAGCTAAAGGTTGGAAAAAGCATATAAAAGTATATTTAAAAAAAAAAGTTTGGTTAACAGTCAACAACTCCAATCTGCTTCACCGTGACTACAATTGACAGCGGTGTCGCAAAATTAGCAAACAATGTCCTTATGCCCCTCAACTGGCATAATGATTACATTGTAGTGCCGAGAGAAGGGAGTCGGAGGCGGTGCATCGAAGGTGCAAATCTGGCTTTAATGAGCGACAGAAATGGACATGCTGTCGGGTCGCAGCCCGAGAAGACAAGAGAAAGCGAAAGGGAGGGCACGCAGTAGGTACCAACCAAGTATGTCCGTGTGGAAACAGTACCCCCAACCTGTAGTTCCATGATTGGATTATGTAACCCCAGTGTATGAATCAGTGATCACTACACAAGCCCCCCCAGAATTCAACCATGGACACAATCCTCGCGTCCGGGAGGAAGCACCACAGGGGCCGAGGAGGGCGGGGCCGCCGGCGAGGGCCGGGCCATGGAACGGGCCGTCGGAAGGGGGCCGCAGGAGAGGGTAGGGGCCCTAACGAGGGCGAGGGCATCCCCACCGGGGGCCGGAACTTTGGCAAACTAAACAAAACAACTGTCAATGAATCTAATAGTCCATTATCACAAGGAGAATAGGGTTGATAATGTGTTATTAAATGCCTTTTAAATTAAGTTCTATTAATTTTGATTGTTGAAATCTAAGTTGTAGTATTTATGACATACTGGAGTCAGCCAGCAGATGATGCTGCAGCACACGATATGCACACGATATAAAATGGAGACGACATTTCTCTGACAGCTGATGGGTTTTATCTGAGTTTACATCATGGATGCAATGAGAACACATGCTTTACATTTCCAGTTTTTTATTGTGTCAAACATTTGCAATGAAGCATTCATATTACATGTAAGAAATACTCAAAACAAGAGTCAACATGGACCAGACTACTGTAGACATTGGTCAAAATGTATAATTATTATTTTCTTTTTTTTCATTGTGGTTGGATTTGTGCTTTTGGGACACACAATTTCTTATTTTGGATAATTTTCAACCACATTTTGACTCATGTCTGCTGGAAATACAGTAGTTACTAATACAGGATGATCCATCTTTCATCAGGATTATCAAAAAGAAAGAAGCACAGACCAGGAACATCCAACATATTGTCAGTTACTGTACAGATAATTCACTTTAATAAAAATACCAGGTTAACAGGCGTCACCTGGGCTTGTAAAGCTGGTCAGCAAGTCATGACAACTTTTCTTTTTTTAATTGTATTTCTAGTTACATGCATGCATCACACAAGTGCTTCAGATGAGTTATGCTCAAGTCATTTCACACACCACGAGTTCTGATCATGACTTAATGAACAGGGTCAGGTTTGTCTCAAAGTAAAGCTGAAGCAGCCACAGGTCCACCCTCGAGCACTCTCTCAGGCTGAATTATATAAAGGGTTGGATTTGAACAGAATGCATTATTTTCTGAAATTAGGTTAACCCACAGCAATTTCATCCTGCAAAAGAATTAGCATCTCTTGTCCAAAACTGTGTCATTTTCTGACTAGAGGACAGGAAATTGTCGATTAGTAACACTGTTACAGAGAGGCCTGGTGAGAGTGTGAGGTCGCCGGAGACTTGCTGTCGCTTATTAGTTTTCTGAAGAGGTGTGAGACCATTTCCCCCGGTGCTAAAGAGAGCGCTGTGAGGTGAAAACGCTTGGGACTTTCAGCTAATTTCAGAAAATTCTGCTTTCCCCACTCGTCACATTTTCAGGTTTATCTGATTGTGTTTAATTTGAGATATTTCAGTGAAATACACCAAGAGAACCCTTCATTTTACTTACTTCATTTCTGTGATTTGCCGCTGTGTAACGGTCTCAATGCAGTACTTATTTTTTCTTTTTTTCAGTATGGATTTTCACTAGCTTTGAGTGGTATTGTGAACATATTAATCAAACCACTGTCAGTTTAACTTGTAATACTGTCTTAAAATGTACCTGAATGCATTCTAAGTATACTTATATTTGTACTCTCTTTATTTATCCCTTTTTATTATGCCTTTGTGCTGCTGCAACAACCACATGTCCCATCTGGGGATAGATATCTTTATCTCAACTTGTAATTAGTTTCAATGGACAGTTTTCTGCATTAAAGAGCTCATGTGGGTTGGCTTGTGAGCCCTAAAAGGTCTACGTAGTACCTATTTTGAAAGGTTATGGCCTCAGTGTGGAAATGGGAATTATTTTGTTCCTTTTTCTTTTTTATATTATCAATTGTCGAATGACCATTCAGATTTATTCTGACCCCTAGGTTGAGAACCAGTGCCCAAGCTGTATGTCTATGAATAGTTTAACCAAAGTGTTGTTCCCTTAGCTCTTCAAGATCTCAAAAGGTCAAAATCTTCATAAAAAATGAAAAATAACCAAACAAAAATGTCTTCTTTCTACGCCTATATGTTCTTCTGACCCGTTGTATTTATTTTCTGACCTCTTTGGCAACATTGCTTCTGGAATGGCAAGTTGCTGTTGAGATTTTTTAAAGCTGAAGTCAGATGTTTTTGGTCACTTGGTTCCCCTTCAAACAAGCTGTAAAAACAACATTGTCCTTGTATTATAATAGTGTATTTCTTGCCATAAAATATTGTTATGTAAGCAATCATTTTTTTATTCGCACAATCGGCAGACACGAAGCAACATTATCATTATTTTTGACTCATGCTTTCATTGAAGTGATGAATGTAACTCTCTGCTTTTAGCTCTTATTTTGGTCTCCACTATCTCCTGAGAAAACATCTTGCTCTTAAGCTGGGAAAGGTTCTATCCATGTTCTCCAACTAGTCTCTACATGTGTCTGTCATTTGAGGGTTTAGTGGGTTTGAGTTTTTTTTGTCTGGAAAGTTAATAATGGCAGTAAGAATAAACCAAAGCAATAAAATGATTGCTGTGGTGAGTTTTTGGTCCATTGTTTGGACAAAAATATTGATTAGTGTTACATTAACTGTCATTTGTCAATGCTTTCAGCACCACGTAAACATATTTTCATCTCTTTTAATGACATCAGAAATCAAATTAACCAAACCAAGTTTGCTTTGGTAGTCTTATAATTAGAATTCTGTAAACTGATATTGGTGCCCACTCTTGCTGTGTTCAATCCTTACTTATATTGGTCTAAAATGTACATTCTCTTAAAAATAAACTAGCCTCCTAGCAGTACCCTAGTGTGTCAAGCCCATCATTTATAGCATAACTTTACTTCACAGAAAACTACCTTTTAAAAAAAATGTAAATGTTCAATTACAGCAAAGTATCACTTCACACGGTGCCTCTCCAACAGAGTAGGTGATTTCATAAAGTCAAGGTTCATCACAACTTGAACAGCATCATCTTTCTCCCGGCGGTGTGAAATTAAACAGACATGCATATTACAGTGGCCTCGGAGAAGCTGTTCAATTTTCCCCACAGTGGACGCCATCTGAAGAAATGAATTAAACTGCTGCTCGAATTAGAAATCAAATTTAAGGTCCGCATCCCCGCAGGCCCAAAGGTGGCATGTGGTCAACAGTTGGGATGGATATGCAGTCTGCGCTTTATCAGAACGGTTGGTTTCGTCCCATTGTCCTCTGCTCCCGCTGTGGCTAAGCATCGGAGCGAGAAACACTCTGATATAAATAAAATAAAGACTCATTTTGACACGAAACACACTGCTTGTATCAGTTTCACATGCCTCTAAAGACAGAACTAAAGTAAAGTGACATTTTACATACAAGCAGAAACAGCAAGTCTTTGACAAGAATTACAAATGCACTTACAGAATTTTTTTTTACTTTTAAAATGAAAATTACTATGAGATTACCTCCTCACCTTCATGCACAGTAGGCAGGGTGACTTTAATCCTTAACAGGTTGTGAACCTGGCTTCTAGTTTAAAAAAACACTTTTAATTTAGTTTTCACTTTAATGGGAGATGCTGAATGCAAACCCAGGAAATGTCAAGTACCAAAAATCATTACCTTTGTCCAGAAAATCTACAGGCCCAATTTTCATTAAACTTTGTGGAAGGGTGCAGCATTGGACAAGGAAGAAAATATTCAATTTTGGAACGTATCCAAATCCAAGGGTGTAGATACGCATTATTTGTCACTTATGAAAACTCCCTTGGTCGGATTCTGCGCTCCAAGAGTGCCCTTCTGGATTGATTATAAACCACTAACAGAATAACTAACAGTGGGTAGTTTTAGCGTTGTTGAATTGCAATGTCATGGAAGTACAACATCTATCTCCCTGTGGTGGTTTGGCTGACACGCCGGTGAACAGGTAATGCCGCAGTTTTCATTATAGAGTGAAATATTGAATTTTAGTTCACATTACTGTCATTCGAAGTTTCACGTTTGAATGTGATGAAGTCTTATCCTGGGAAGCTAAAAGCTGGAATTTGAAGAGATTTTCTTTTAAGCATTGCACTCAGTCAAAGGTCCCCGTGATTTTGTGAAGAAATTCCAAGTAAGAGGAAACGTCAAAGACAACGGTGAGTTTCCTCCACTCGGCACGCTACCCACAAACTGCCCAACGCCTTTTGTGGACTCTGACTTCTCCACTTACTGAATTCCCCCCACAATGTTCAGTCCCAAGTCCGTATGCTGTGGCTAGGGCTTCTTGTCTGCATACGATTGGCTGGCTCCGGTAGTGGTTGTAGTGTTGGGTAAGTCTGGATATACCAGGAAGCCAGTGAAGGTGATGTACTTGGCGTGGTTGCTGTAGGCTCCAAAGCCATCTTTCTGGTGGGAGTAGAGCCAGACGATTTCTCCCGGTTTCAGCGACAGCATCAAACTCTGACTCTGCAGAGCCTTCTCGCCCTGGCTGTCGTCATAGATCATCGCCTGCACCTCCAGGTGGTTCTTCATCAGCTTGACGGACAGCGTCTTCTGCGGCATCTTGCCCACGTTGAAGGAGAAGTAGTAGGCTCCAGGGACGCGACAAGTGAACACCCCCTCTGTCACGTTAAAGTCTTCCCCGATGTTGACGAACGCCGTGTCGAAGCTGACCGGCTGGTGCTGCGGCAGGCCCACTTGGTTGACTCCCACGATGCTTTGGGTGCGCCCTACCGAGAAGGCAGATCTCTGGTCGTCCTCCTCGTCGTCATACTCTTCCTCTTCTACCTCCTGATGTTGCTGCTCCTTCTCCTCCACCACCAGCACCACCGGTGCGTCTGTTGTTTCAGACCTGATGTTCTCGGTGGCCTGGTTGCTGTCCAATAGGGGCTTGTTCTCCTCCTGGGGCTGCTGGGAGTTGGAGCTAGAATGGTGGTGGTGTGTCTGGAAGTCGTAGGTGTCGGGGTAGATGAGGTAACCGTTGAAGGTGGTGTAGTGTCCCGTGTTGCTGTAGAGCGCATAGCGAGGGTCACCATGGAGACGGAGCCAGACGGTGTCACCAAACTCCAGCTGCAGCATGACGCTCTGACTCTGCACCTGAGGATTAAAGCAGGCCTTATTATCAGAGTTCCACATCGGCACCACACATAATCCAATCATCTACGTCACACTTATTATTAGGGGGAATTTGGTGTGTAATCCCCTCTGTTGTACATTAATTCCCCACCCAAATACAACACGTCATGTTGCCTTGTGAGACTCCTGGAGAGCTTTGACATGATAAAATTAGGGCTGTCAGTCGATTAAAATATTTAATCGCGATTAATCGCATGATTGTCCATAGTTAATCGCGATTAATCGCAAATTAATCGCAATTTTTTTTATCTGTTCTAAATGTACCTTAGAGGGATATTTTTCAAGTTTTTAATACTCTTATCAACATATGAGTGGACAAATATGCTTTATATGTTTGTTTATTATCATTTGAACAATGACAAACATTCTCATGAATATTAAACACAACAACCTCTGAACATTACAAATATTCGCCTCAATTCAACCTGGAACTGTGTGTGTGTGTGTGTGTGTGTGTGTGTGTGTGTGTGTGTGTGTGTGTGTGTGTGTGTGTGTGTGTGTGTGTGTGTGTGTGTGTGTGTGTGTTGTGTGTGTGTGTTGTGTGTGTGTGTGTGTGTGTGTGTTGTGTGTTGTGTGTGTGTGTGTGTGTGTGTGTGTGTGTGTGTGTGTGTGTGTGTGTGTGTGTGTGTGTGTGTGTGTGTGTGTGTGTGTGTGTGTGTGTTGTGTGTGTGTGTGTGTGTGTGTGTGTGTGTGTGTGTGTGTGTGTGTGTGTGTGTGTGTGTGTGTGTGTGTTGCCTGGATGCTGCAATCATGTTGCGCGCACTATCCGTGCTGAGTGTGTTGACTTTTCGTACAATGTCCCACTGCCTGGCTAGCTGCATAAAATCAAGTGCTCGGCGCAGTTGTCGGCGAAATGTCGCTCCTCTGTTTTCATTGAAACAGCTCCTTATATCCGTTAGCGCAGCTAGCTAGCACCAGATGCTAACAACAACATGTAAGGTGTGCTTCGCTCGCGCCACACATACACACACCCTCCCGGTCCTCCCGATGGCCAGTCCGGGCCTGCCGGGGAGCGTGGAAGTGTGGTCTGCCACAAGCGGGCGGCAGGAGCGGGGCTGTCAGCATCAGCTTGTAGATGGTATTTTAAACTCGATGCGCTCTGAAACTACGGGGCGCCCGAGGACAAAAAATACACATGCGTTAATCGCGTTAAAATAATTAGTGCCGTTAATTTTTTTTTGCGTTATTAACGAGTTAACTTGACAGCCCTAGATAAAATACCTTTTGTAATCATTACCTTGGAGGGAAAACCAATCCTAACACAGAATTCATTTTTAAGAAACACATTTAGATGAGAAGGTTTGATTTGAGCATGGCGTCAGTTAGCTTAGCTTAGCTCAAGGACTGGAAGCAGGAACAACAGCTAGCCTGGCTGTCCAAAGTTCAGAATAACACCTACCAGCATATCCAGCTAAAGAACAACATAACCCTTTGTCTTAAACTTTAAAACTATTCCTCAATTTAAGAAGTCCTTGCATGTTCGAAGTTGAATGATCATTAGCCTGATATCCATACTGAATTTTAATCTTTAAGAATGGGTCAGAAATGAATATTTAATTCTTCGTCAAAAAGAAAGATGTGCTTAAAGAGCTGGTCACTCAAGTTGTCTTTTTAATCAAACTGGGGGAAATAGTGCAGACAGTATGTTGGGGACTAGTTCCAGCGATGGATGAATCCACATTATTAGTATTTCTGGCATTAGATGTATTTGGGAGTCGTTCTTAATAAACTACAGCTTGTGTGTTCATGGAACATGTCACCCGTTGCAACAGTGTGGCTTATTGTTGTGCTTTTAATTGTTATTGGACAAAAATGGAGCTTTGTCAAACAAAGAAAGAAAATATCTCAGCCTTTGATGTACACACACTATAGATACATTCACTGTTGGTTTTGATATTTTTACTGGACTTTTTGTGGCAAATAAAAATATTGAGTACCTACAAAGCCAGTCAGCAAGGAACTTTAGTCCCACCCACAAACGATCTGATTGAGTGATGAGCCGTGTTTGAGAGGTCTGAAACCTACCTTCCTCTCCTCGCCGGCGTTCTCCTCGTACACGATGGCCTGCACCTCATTCCTGTTCTTCATCAGCATCACTGACAGGTCTTTGTGTGGGAACTTCCCCACTGTGAAGGAGAAGAAGTAGGCCCCGGTGATGCGACAGCGAAACAAGCCAGTCTTGGGATCAAAATCCTCACCAATGTTGACATAAATTGCGTCAAAGGTCACGGTCATCTTGGGCCCGCCCTCCATGCTGTTGGTGCGTGCAACCGAGAAAGCCGAGCGTAGCTCCACGTCGTCCTGCAGACGGGCGAAACCCCACGCACCGCCCGCATTGCTCAGGCACAGTAGGCCAATCAGAACGCTCGCTGGGAGCAGCATTTTGTCTGGAGAAACATAAAAAAAAAAGAAAAATGTGGGAATTATTACAGAAATACAAAGTTAAAAATGTTTAGCCACATGGAAATCGATAATGGAATATGAGAACTTTTAAAATGTTTGTCCATTCAACCAGTTAAGCCCCATGCCCCCGATACCGGGGGCAAAACACAACATCTTGCAAGAAACAGCGTCTGAGGGCTTCTTAACATTTAACAAACTATGAATGTGTCATACCCACTTAACGGGAAGAAACTCAGCTATCAGACAATATTAACCATTTTTAGCTAAACGAAACACAACTCTAATGCCAAGCCTCTGAATTAGCCCTGAGCGAAAAAATGCTAACACACTTAGCACAGAACTCACGGTAGAAATACTTTATTACTTATCGGATCTGCACAAACAAGATATCAGATTTAAAGCTGAGATTCCACAGATTCTAGAGGTATAAGTAGCATCACTGTGCGAGCAAAACTCAGGGCAGCGAAGGCAAACCCAGACAACACACCACGTAGCTTTACGGAGCCAAAACGGCAAATATGTCTTACCTTTGCTTTTTTTCTGATAAAAAGTTGTGTTCAATGGCATTAAAACGATAAAAACGCTGCTGAAACTTAATCCAATGTCTCTGTGTCCCTTTGAAATGATTACTGATAATCCATCATCATATTTATAGCTATAACCTAGTTTTCAGTTTTCAGTTCGTAACATAGCTTTCGGTTTGTAATCATGTAAACTATAAGTATTTTTTCTTTGTTTTAGAATATCTTTTTGTTTGCGGTTCTCTTTGCTTCTTTCTCGATCAGACTTTTGCTCTCGCTGCAGCTCTTCTCGTTTGTGCTCCCTCATTTTTTGTTTTCGATTCTGACACAAACGTCCCAGGTGGGCGGGACTTTCAGGGGTGCTTCCCCATTGGCTACTCAGTTTTTGAGTGACAGCCCACTACACCACAGATCATACAGTGCAATTTATGCAGCAAACTCCGGAGTCTACTCGGCCACGTTAGTGTCGGTGCCTCCTGGGGAGTTTTCATGAAAATATCGGACTTATCTTATGGATTGCTGTGCATTATACTTGTGTTGTGTAGTTTATACTTTGTTCCAACTTTAAATATTTTAATACCTGAACACACTGCTGCTGCTAAATAATTTCCCAATTTGGGATCGATAAAGTGTCTGTCTATCTATTTATTTATTTTATAGATAAAAAAACACATCTATGTTTTTTCAAGCTAAAGGTGATACACAATATAAACTGTATACTGTTATTTTTTCAAAGACATGTTACATTTCAAAAGCATATATTGCTATATTTAGGACAAACAACTAAAGACTGCTTTAATTTAACAAACTCTACAATATAAAAGTGGCAGATTTTCTTTATTAAACAGACCAGACCTAGGTTGCCAACAAAATTAGGAACATGCTCACATCTTACTATGTTGGTCTGAAGAGCTGAAGCATTCATACACAATGAATACAAACTGTGTTGTCTCGTTCTATATCCTGTGAGAAAATTATATACATTTAGCATTACAAATGCGTCATACTATTCCTGAGGAAGGTATGAATAGTCAACAGATTTGAATGGAATCTCTAACATTTTCATGTAGAATAAAGACAAAAGAGTGATTATACAAATTACATTTATTTAAATTTGAACCAGAAGATGAAGTCTCAAAGAATGTTTTAAATAAAAGGACATAAAACAAAAAGATGGATAATAATAACATCTATTAAATGTATATGTAAAGACATTTGGTCAAATGAAATGACACTGAGCCAGTGATAACAGCAACGCCCAGCGTGGATGCAGCTGGTGCAGGTCTTTCTTCATGCCCCCCCTCCGTGCTGTCCCCTCAGAGGAAGTTGGAAAACGGGATAAGACCTCTGGACACCACGCTGTCTCAATGATCCACACTGTTAATATGAGAGGAAAATAAATGTTTTAGGAAATTAAAAATATGAAGTTAACAAATAAAACTCAGCTCAGGGGCATCATGGACGGTAGGTTTTCCTACAAAGTTAACTCAGCCTCCATTGATTTTCATATACAATTAGCGTGTTAATAAAATAAGCTATCATGGCTTGTACTTGCATATCTAAACAGAATCATGAAAGCCTGTTGGTAGAGTCAGGCACACGAGTCCGTTTGAGTGTGTGCGCCGGTGTCTGAACGCTCACTCACTCACTGCTCGCTTTGTAGCTAACTGTCCCTGCTATTAGGCTACTAGCTTGCATTGTTATGGATCTAAAGTTAGCAAAAGCTAACTTTCATAGCACAGCTCTTCTTTACTTCTCACTCAACACAATAAAGAAACAGACCGTATAGTACAGCACAAACAACACAAATGATCAATACTTACATATATTTTCACTTGTAGTATTATAATAATTGAAATGCTGGTTCTTCTGGGGGTCTTCTGTCCACGCTCAGCTACCGCACCGCAGCTGCCTGCACTGTACAATCGCTGGAGGACTGGGCTGTAACTCAAAAACTGAGTAGCCAATGGGGACGCACCCCTGAAAGTCCCGCCCACCTGGGAGGTTTGTGTCAGAATCTCAAACAAAAAGTGAAGGAGCGCAAAAGAGAAGAGCTGCAGCGAGAGCAAAAGTCTGATCATTGAGAAAGAAGAAACAAGAACTGCAAACAAAAACCTATGTTAAAACAAAGAAAAAATACTTAGTTTACATGATTACACAAATGATTTGTTTGCAACTTATAGTTTTATTTTTGAAATTTATTTTATTTTGCTTGACTCAGTTTTTTTTCTCTTTTAAACTCATAGTTTAGCTTTATTCTGAGAAAGTGTTGCTTTATCTTTATGATACAAAACTAATCCCATAAATGCGCATCACTCTCATTCCTCAATGGTAACGTGTAGGTGGATTTAGGAACTTCCCTCTCGATTCTATTGGCTCTAACGGTTCAAAAGAGATGTCAATCATCAAAATCGACCGAGGGGGGCCAGAGATATGGCAAATCCACCCAAATGACCCCAGAAGTGGTTTTTTTTTTCTTCTAAAAAGGTCAAATGTCACTTTTTTTGCATCAATCTTGATACAGGGTACTTATTATATGTTATATTTTGGATTCCTAAAGTTTTTAGTCTACTATCCCATCATTCAAGGGTGGTTTTCACTCGTAATTTTTTCTTTTTTGGACGGACATTATAACTTGCATCTTTTTACTATGTTCAATATGAATTTACTTTAAAATAAAAAAATTCTGTATTGATTCTGACTTTTCTACATCCAACTCACAGGTTTATCATTGCTTTGAGAAAAAATATTATTAATGTACCCCTTTTTAGAAGTGAAGATATAGTAATTTGTTCTGGGAATGTCATTTTCGAGCCTGAGACCTGAAAAACAGGCTTGGGGCTTAACTGGTTAAGCATCTTATTTATTTTTACAAAATGAGCCAAAATACAAAACGGGAAGATCTAGGGTAAATAATAATGACAGAATAAATATGAAAAAACAACCTTGTTTTGGTGGGTATCATTTGATATCTATATCTATCAGGTCAATGTGACTGGAAAATGTAATAAAGTTGGGCATTCCTCTGTTTTATACCGTATTCAAGTGAATATATTTTGGTTTTTAAATGTCGAAACAAGATGTAATCTTGAAATATTTGAAACTGGGACGGACATGTTTAACCTTTTTCTGCAATTTTATTGATAAACCATTAAAACAATTAAAAGCTGATTAAGTGGTAATGAAAACAATTGTTAGTTGAAGCCCTAAAAGGTTGAAAAACACATTTGATACATGACATTTTTTGTAAGGTACAAAAAGTATTGGATACAAGGAGGCAAACGATAAAACCACACATACACAGACAATACTCGCAAAAATTGAGCAAGCATTCATCTGCACATTAGGAAACATCAAAACAAATGCGCCTAAAACACTCACACACAATCCCTGAGTGCTTCAGGCAGAGCGCTCTCAGCAGAGAAGCTATTAATGTGTCTTTTATTGGAGACAATTGCTCTCATTGTCCTCCTGTAATGAATCAACAGAAGCAGGAACACGCAGGTGGAGCTGTTGGCACCTTCACAACAAAAGGACTCTGTATATCATATGCAGAGCAACCAGACCCCGAGGAGGGTCTTCCATGTCCGGTGCTCACCACAGTTTATCAATCTACACATAGATAATACGACTGTCAAATATATGTCACAGTATTAAGGGGTGGAACTGCTCATTCAATAAGGAGGTATTATAAAGCAACTGGATTTTCCTTTTTGTCTAAAACAATGTTCATCCGTTATTCAACAGGCTATAGTTTTGTAAGCAAAATGAAATCTAGGTGTAAATTGAAAACCTGATTTGATCTTTATATATTTTTACAATCTATCTATATTTTGGTAAAATTACATTACAATGACATTTGACAACAATGAAATGCAAATATTATCCTCCACTGTCACTATTCCATTAGTATGAGCCTTTGCATAAAAGTACTTTATACTGTGCCTGTAGCCTTTTACAAGCCTATAATAGATTTAGAATAATAGATTTGATTTGATTTTATTGCTGCCTCAAGTCTGCTCTGTTTTTTCAGTGATAAACAAAATTCCTGTGCAAGATTCCTGATGAAACATTAATGGTGGAATAGGCGAAAATAATTTCATAATATCGGAAGGAATCATTGTTAAAAAAAGGCCAATAAAACTAGCTTTTTAGGCAAGTTTCCAGTGAACGTTTGACAACTTTATAATCCCCTAACGTCAACAAGCCCTCTGGTCCCAGCTGTGTGCATCACTTATTAGTGTCCCCGTTTCCATTGTGTTTTGACCTTGAGCTTTTTTTATTTGCAGCATTTTGTTTATGCAGCTTTAAGTAAACGCTCCGCATGTTTTGTCAAGTTGGTAAATGTTTTCTAAATGCTATGCATGTGTTGTCAAGTGCATGTGTACTGGCACATTTGTGTTTTTATATTTACATCGTTTTTGAAAGTGTAGCATGTTTTTCCTTATGAAAATGATTTTTGG